TTAAATGCTTCAACAGAAAAGTGAAAATGTGGTACAGATTTGATAAAGTGTTTCTACATATAGGGCTTTCACTTTTATTTTTCTTGCTGTTAATACCCCAGCATAGCCAGAGCCCATTTCTTTCTTAGAAGCAAAAATCCCCATGTGTCCCTTTGTGTACGGAATGAGTACCACTTTTTGAAAAATTGTAGGTTATTAGCTCAGTTCTATTCAAGCTGTGGGGCACTGCATGAGCAAATGGTCAAAACCTCCGCCCCACACATCCTAAGAGATCTATTCCCAGCTTCTGTGATAAATAGTAGGTGTGCTGTCTATACACAAAGGTGCTGATTGCAGGGTTTGTTCATAAATATACATTCTTTGTTTTTCAGTATATTGGAATACAGTGTTCTGTACTTGAAGAAAGATACATTTTATGGTAATACTGAGATGTGAGTCAATAGATCTCTAATATGGTAAACCCTCCAGTATGAACAGTAAAAGTGCCTAGTGTTAACCAAACAGAACCCTGGATTAAATGGTAATATGTATCACTGGATAACACAAAAAGAGAATCTGATTATATTCCCATTTCCCATTGACTGGGCAAGCCACAGAGTGTCTTCAATTGTTTGTTCTGAAAAACAAAAGAAAGAGTTCTATCTAAGCACCAATAGGAACGTTCACTGTGATGTTCCCCTTTGATGCTAGGGAAATGTAATGCTTGGTCACTCACTGCCTACCTTTTCTAATATTTGCCAAGTGACTGTCATTGAAAGAAAAACAGTGCTTCTCTTCTAAAGTGCAGAATTGCCATCCCCATTTCATCCAATAAAGAGTTATTACCTATTCTATACACCAAGGCTATAGTTAAAACAGTTAAAACTATGTACATAAAACTTTATGTATCATAGTTAAAACTACTGAATAAGAGATGCAGTTTCAGAAAATGCAGTTTCATGAAAACAGAAAAAAATACTGTTTGAATGACACACACATTGGTTTTTCACACTTCTAGTGGGATGAGGTACAGCAGGCATTTCAGAACATGAGGGATAGAAACCTTCCCCTCTTTAGATGCTGTACCACTCACATGAGCTTTTGTTTCATGGCTGGCCTGTTTAAATTCCACTGAAGTTAACCACTCTTATCCAAAGATACAGTTTGGCTTGACAAGGGTTTTGCATTAGACTAGAAGAACACTTAACATTTTTCTCTCAATAACTGAACACATGCCCCCACAATATGTATCTCATGTTGCTCTGAAATTCCCCCTTTCACTGGCAGTTTGCTGTGCAGAATAGCAGAATAAGTGGAGGAGAGGCTGTTGGTGAAAAATAAATTTAAGAGCTTCTTAGACTTAAAAAACTATTTTCACTTTTCTTTAGATCTTGTGAATTAAGCAAAAAGGGCTAGAAACTACTGCATCCCTGTCTTAAGTCCACTAAAGTGAAGAAAGATCGAAATAATCCAAGGTATATATAGAACATGCTAGTATAGACCATGTTAGAAAATTATGCCAATTGTCTGAAGCTTCTGCTTTGATTCTAAGGACTTATATTATGCATCCTAGACCTTTGCAAAAGTTTAGTAAATAAGCATTTTCAAGGCACATAAGGTATCCTCCATGTGATATTAATCTGTATCATTAAAGAAAGCAGCATGACTCAATCTGCAAGGAGCACATCGTTTAAGTGAGACCATGCCATAGTAACCTCCCAATGCTCAAGTTATTAACTTTCATGCAAAAATTAGGGACAACCAAACAATTCACCTCTTCAGTCTACTTTGAAACATTTATATATTGGTATTTTAATGGTACAGGTTGTGTCTCCATGAAGATATCCCATTCAAATTGCCATAACGCATACAAAACACACACTCATGAAATGGAGATAATTCACTTACATTCTTCCTCCAAGGGGGATATCAATGCCTGATTTAGCAAACCTTTGTTCAAAGGACGAATTTAACTGAAATCAGCGGAATTGTTAGTATATGCTGAACAATAAACATCCAGTTTCTCTTTGGCTGTTCATATGCAAATTGAAAATGCTACTTCTGGATATGAAAATGAGCACCCTCTCGCTCTGGACCTAACCACAGTTCCCTGTGACATATGCACTCAGGAAACTATGATTTATGAGAACAATCCAGGATCTAACTGTAGCTTCAGATGGGCAACTCTACTTTTTAAAAACTGATCATAATTCCTCCTTGTAGATGCAAAAGAGAACAAGGATGAAAGAGTGGAAGTGGCATGTGAAACCAAGGCCTACCATGACCCGTTATCATAGTATGAAATCATGCTTTCTCATTACCACTGTGCTGAAACAATTTCTTGAAGAAATTGATTTTTGAGAGCCAATGTGGTACAGTGCTTAATAGCACAGGACTGCGACTCAGGCGATCTGGGTGCTAGTCCACACTTAGTCATGGAGCCAATTGGGTGATTTTGGGACAGTCACAGACCCTCGGCTCAACCTACCTCACAGGGTTGTTGTTGTTGTGGGGATAAGATTGAGAGCAGGAGGAAAATTATGTAAGCTGCCATGAGTTCTTTAAGAAAGAAAAGGCAGGATAGCAATCTAACAAACAAACAAACAAAATGAAGAGCTCTATCTTCTACTTGGAAATCAAGTACACAGTAAAAATTTCAGAAGTCCTTGAATTGTTCTGAAGTAGCGGTACTGCATGAACAGGGAAACAAATATAATGAAAAAGTTAATAATGTTATTAAGCATTGCATAGGACAAGTGTGAGGCTACGCAGAGCTGATCAGGAACACCTGCTCTGGATCTTAATGTTTTAAGGAGCTAAATATTAAACACCACCCCCCCATACACACACACACACACACACAGACAAATAAGGAATAAAGGCAAAAAAAAAATCAATTTTGGATCAATACTGACCCAAATGTTTTTAATTAAAACTGTTTAAAGTAACAAGACTAACTGAATTGTTACTTTTATCAGAGTTTGAGTGCATTCAACTGAACAACACCAACATACATGAAGATAGTTTCAAGTACATTTTGTTTAGCAAATTTAGTATTACAATAGTTTGAAAAAACTGCATGATACTTCATTCACTTTTAAAAACATAGGTTTTGTGATCCTTCTTTCTATGTTCAGAAAATGCTATTTAAGGGACAGCTCAAAAAAAATCTGACACTGTTAGGGAGATGGTTATAGTGGGGAAAAGAGATAGTTTCTGAAAACCAATGATCCATGTTTTCCAGCATTGAAGTCCATTGCTGAAAAAACAGTAGAACTGGTTTCAGGGACTATCACAAAGCTGTATTGTTTTAAGTCAAGCATAAATGTCACAGTGATTACTTAATATCTTTTAAGACGGAAAGAGACCTAATAAATGTCAACTACAATGGCAGACCTACATTATATGCTATTATAAATTCAGAACCATCAATTATGTTTTATTTCAAGCTCATTTACTTATTGATTTTTAAACAGAAAGCCTACTAATCATTTTAATGAACTAAACAAAGACAGCAAGATTACAAAGTCCTATGTTCAGAAACTAAATGTGAAATCACCTTGCTCACTCCCCCTGTGATTATGGTATTGAAAAGGTTTATTTAAGGAATGGCGATTTATAGATTCTATAACAAAACACATATATGTTATTTATAAAAGGGAAAAGAATGTGGGCAAAATCAAAAAAACATTTTCAAGTTTGCAATATGAATATTTAAAAATACTTTAAGTGTTCAAAACAATTAGATGAATGTAAAAAATGTGTGTCACCCATATACTACTTCATTCCGATAGCAGATTTCACACTTTGGGCTAATTTTGTTATCATACAATATTGTGATGCTTAACGTAAGAATAATAGATTTAATGCAGTAGTGCACCTATTTCTTTACCTGGGTGAAAGAGCAGTTTTCAATAGTAGTAGTATCATTTATATTGATACTTTTGACTATAGAATTATTTTAAAATAACAAATTATACTTCTCTGATCTGTTACATTAGCTCAGTTGTACTTTAATTTTACACAGACAATTTAGCCGGAAGAAGTGAAGGACAGTGGTCAGAATGATAGTCCCGTAATAAGTTTAATGTCTTTGAGTGCAATCCAAATATACTTACTAGAGTCAGCTTCACTAAATACAGTTATTATTTACTTCATAATAAACATTAATAGGAATGCACAATTAAGGTATGTCATGACATGGAACATCAGTATGTTCTTTCCCAAAATTCTGGACTGTAAGCTAATAATGAATTGTAACAATATTTGCACATGATTGCAACTACAACCTTTTCAGAATGGTTCTGTTTTGCATGTGAAATAATTCAATACTTATATTATTTACAATGTAGGCATATTTTACAATTTAGGGGAATGCCTATTTCCCCTCATCAAGCCCATCTCCCCACCAAACTCAAACATTAGGTTAACTTGCCCTGAGCAAAGTAAAGTTTAGTTTTACCCTAAGATATTATTTTGCTTGATTATTTACACTGCTAGAAAAATTAAGTGCTTGGTAGTTTTGGAAGTTTAGTATATGACACTTTATAACGTGTTTTTCAATTAAATCTGCATTTTAACCTCCTCTGACTTAACCATGCTAATTAGACAGTACCTACTAAAGAAAATGCTGCAGTTTGAGAAGATTATGAGTGAATAATGAATTGCTTGCTGAGGTGAAACTTTTTCATTCAATCAAACAATGTTACAGCAAAGGAATATAAAACACACACAGTAGGGTAGCAATGCAGAAATATATCTACGTGCACATATAAAGGAAACAGCTTTCTGAGAATAAGCTAAAAGAACTTGCAAGTCCTTATCTTTTATCCCCCCCAATCATTTTCCAATCACCTAGCAACATCTGTTGCTGCTGCTTTTGATTCTGAATAGGCCGTCTTCACATTCAAAGATGTAACTGAGCCAACTGAGAAAACTGGAAGTGTAAAGCAACCGGGAGAACAAGATGCAAGTCAGTTTTCTTATTTTTTCCTGTCAAGAAAGAACAAAATTGCCCCTACCTTTCTTCTGAGGGTACGATGGTGACTGCACTTGAGAAAAAGTAGGCTTTTCTTCGGTGAAATATTCAGGTTGGCTGTACTGATGCAGGGCCATGTCCATATCAGAATACTCGCTTTTAAAAACGTTTCCAGGGTAACTACAGGTATAAGGCTGATTCACCGCCCAGGCCTGTTCCATATATATGTTATTATTGTGCAGGACCTGAGCATCACAACTGCTGTAACTCTGACTATCTTCAATATAAGTGCAATAATCAGTGGACTGCATGTAGCAGTTGCTACTGGCAGCCGGGTGAGCTTCATATATTTCTTGCATACAGTAGTTCATTTTGTTATCCTGTCTCAGCCTATACTTTACATATGCACACACATACACTCACTCACTCACTCACTCACATGCATATACATGCCAGCCTGCATACGCACGGAACAGGAATGAATACACAACACCAAGAAAGTCAACTGCAAAATTGTATGTTTAACTTTAGAGTGGCACCTGATGTGCTAATACCCTATTTATATTCGGGATGGACTGAGAGCTCTCCTGCCAGCCAAACATATTGGAAAGCAGATTTATGACAGCCAAAGGTCTTAATCTGTGACTGTATGTTAATTCCTAGGGAAGATAGCGGGTGGTATTGGCCACCAGACAAAGAAGAAATGCCCAGACAACCCTACAGTTGCACTATTTTGTGAGAGGGGGCGTGTGTGTGTTTGTGTGTGTGTGTGTGTGTGTGTAGGGGGGATAATTATTTTATAAAGCCATTTCCATCCGCTTTCAGTGTGATTAGAAAAATGGTTACAAAGGCAAGAATACAGTTACGCCACTGACATTGTCAACTTAAGTGTGAAGCATCACCAAAAACACTTAGGAAATCCTAGAGACGATATGCTCAAAATCCAAAAATCAATAATCCTGCTTTTTCAGCATTAACTCCTAGAAAATCCAATAGTGCTGATGAGTCAAGCAGTAAGTCTAGTTTTTGCAAAAATTTAGCGTCTAAATCTGTCATCTGCTTTATTGATTTTGAGTGACAGAGTTATCTGCGTGAACCTTTCATGCCTTACACATACACAGGCCAAACTCCCCGCTGCTCACTAATTTAACACATTTACAAGAAAGCAGCTTTTTCAAACTTCATTGACTTGCTAGACAATTTTTTTGAATCTAACAGGTGGGAAATTTCCACGCCATCTTAATCAGCAAACAGAATACTGCTTAAAGCTTAATTGGTTTGCCAGTTAAATTTCATTAAACTGCTTTCTTCCGATGGTTCAATAATGAAGGGCTGGCTGTTTTTACATCTGTTTCATTCACACATATATGCTATGAACATTGCAAAATCATTTTGCAAGGCAGTCGATAATTAGACTATCCTCAGTTTTAAAAATAAGAATATTTCACATTTGTTTCAGGTCATACACATCCTCTTATAACCATTATTTAAGATACATGTCTGAAGCTTGCAATTTTATAAACACTTACCTGGGAGCAAACCCACTATATGAAATGAGGTTTACTTCTAAACTGAAATGAGTAGAATTGCACTGTCAGTAATAATAGATAATTGCCACTGCCTGGCAAATGTAACACTTCTAAACTTCTTACTGCTTTGTGCTGAATTACTGTTGCTAAACAATTCTTGGTCACTTTGAAATGGATTCTCATTAAAAAGAATTCATGTTTTAAAAGAAGGAGCTATTTTGAAATACAAAGCAATGACTTCTCATCAGTCAGCAGATAATCATTTAACTCTTATGCATATCTACTCAGAAGGAAGGTTGATTTCAACAGATGTGTATTGGTAAAATTGTCATGAAATTTTCCAGAAGCTCTGAAGGTTTTAGAAAGGTATTTTCATTCCCCCTCCTTTTCTCAGCCGACTGGTATAATTTGCCAACAGAGTTCATACTGAGGTAGTTAACTTTGTATAGTGACTGTCAGGAACTGGAGACTGTCCACTTAATTTTTATGTTGAATGTTGCCAATAACCAAGTGTCAGCATGCAACTACCTCAACTTGATACCAAGGCCCTTTGAATTTTCATTTCTGATCGCAGCTCTAAATCAGAAATAGCCTGGATAAAAAGGGAATTCCATGACTAAACTGAATCCAATTCATTTCAGTGAACTGACTGTACATATGAGTAAGTCTGGATTCAGTGCTGTGTTTCTATATTATAAATGCAAATTTGATTAATACATTTTTAAATCAGAATCTTTAATTAATTCATAAATAATTAGCTCTCAAAAATAACCTGGTTTGAAATGAAATCTGAATTTCATAGAATAATTTTATACATATTTTTTAAAAAATGAATCAATGTCCCTCTATCATATATCTTTAATCAAAGCTTTTAGCTGTTTGGATTGTCACCAGCAAAAGGGCTGTCAGGATTCAATGTTACTGTATTTATTAACTGTTTTTCTTCACCTGAAGAGCTTCAGCTATTGGGCAGTACAGAAGTAAGTGAGTAAATAAATGAATAAATGCCAACAATCTTCAATTTCTGACACAATGCTCCCACACAAACCTTTATCAAACAATTACATTTTCAGTGCAAGGCATTTTCAGGACATCCAGACAATGCTGTCTTCCACTTGCATTCGCACTAGCTATTCCATCTTTTTTGCTTTTTACAAATATCTATTAAGAAATAAATGGTAAAGCAGCTGGAAAATATCTTTTCATTGGTACTCTATATGCAACTCAACAGCTGTTACTGAAATCTCTAATTTAACTTTGGCAGTTAGCACTGTTTCCTGCTCCAGCTTCACTAGCCTCTTTCAAAATCTCCAGTTGTTTTGTGCCTAAACATTTTTTCTGTTTGTCTCATTGCTTTCTCCTGTATTAATAAAATGATAATTAAAAACCCTTGCCACCAAATTAATCAGTATTGCTCTATTGCCTCTCCTCTGTATATACCTGGCCTGTTCCTCAGTTTTTCTTTTTCATATAAAGAAGGCCTATTTTATCTTAAAAGTGCTAACACTCGCCTAATATTTGATCCATGTAGTTTGCAATTCAGCTAAGGTTTTTTTTTTACAGTTCTGCATAAAGGTAGGATGCAAGTCATCTTTTGACTCACACATGTATATCATTTAGATGTCTGCCTCTATTTCTAGAAATATCACTTGGAGTTTTCCATTCGTTTCAAAGGGAACTGGACTGCCCCACATGTATATTACCCATGTATAATGTAATAGAAGTTAAGAGTCTGAAAATTGGAAAATGTTCCTAAACCACATTTTTTCTATTTCCGATTATAAACCTCATTATTCTGTTTGTATTTTCTATTATTCCCTCTTCATTCATGATCATAATGCCCACTCTGTTCATAACAGATAAACACTAGTCCTGTTCTGGTGTTCTCCTGTGATACATTGCCAACCCACAATCAAAAGTCTTTTGTATTGGTGTGGAGTCCCTTTAAGATTTAAAACATTGATCTTTCAGCTTGTGCATATATGTGGAAGGCTACATGGCTGCAACTGATAGCAGGATGGAGAAAATGGGTGTGGCGCTATTTACCACTTCATGATAAAGTAGGGAACACACATGCAGGACCTTTCCATCATTGCAGTACATTTTCCAGCATATCAAAGAATTGCCCTCCATGTGCATATGGGGCACTGGCTGACTAAGTTCATAGTTTTGATACCAGGACCTGCCTCAGGAAGCTTCAGTTTCACTACTAGGAATATTAGTATTGAATTGCTTTCAATAGAAAAGCATCTGCAAGGTGCACCCCTATCTGTCACTCTAAAATCATAGCAGCTCAACAATGCTGGGACTGCACCCAGATTTTTCTAGTTAATAGGGGCCAGAAAATTATGAATCTGAAGTACTTACAGGAAGATAGGGGAACTCGTGTTACAGGAAGAAACCTAGTACTTGTAACTGAACATTCATATGGTGGCTCGTTTATTCCAGTATCCAGAGAAACCCCTCCTCAAATTTGTACATATCTATATCATGCTGTTAGTATATTAAATGACCCAATCTGGTGCACAAGAATGGTGTCAAGATGTGTCTTTTTCAGAGAACACACTTTATTAATTTATATCTGCCTCTTCATATAAATAAGTATAAATGAGTAAATAATAAAAAAATAATAAATTCTTATTTATATACTCATTTATATACTCATTTATTCTCATTTATATACTTTATATAAATCAGAATAAATATAAGTTTAAGTTCACAGAAAAGCCACAGCAAATGGATATGCTTCTTGTGGATGATAAACAAAAATAAATATTATTAGACATCTGTGAATTACAAAACTGCCTAATAGTTCCTGAAAGTCAACTATCAGTTTTGTTTTGAAATAAAACTGAACAGATTTGCTGATACATAGGATGTAAAAAGTATAACCAGATCAGGAAATTATAATTATTTTTAACATTCAACAAGTAATTGGGTAATTGCATCATGCAAATACCTTAAACAGTGAGTATATATAAAATGTTGAACTTGTAACTGTAACACATAAATTGTTTGCATATGTGTAAATACATGTATTTCAATAAAGCAACTTCTCCCTAACCAGTTCAAGTAAAAAATTTGTAGTAAATAACTAATGTTCCTGAAATGCATTGTTCTCACAGAACAGGACTGCATACTGTGTTAATTTTATATTGGTTCTAAAAAGTACAATTGATTTAGTTCTTAGTTATGCTACAGCAATTGGTGTAAATACACAGCTTCTTAAAAGGAAATCAATAGGCACAATATGGAGTAGAATCTGTTGATGTACCTCTCTCTATATTGATTTATGTACTCTGGTGCTCTAATTTTTATAGAGAGATGCTTCAAAAAGTCTTTTAAGCTAATATATCACTAGTAATTTGTTTAGGGCAACTTTTTATGTTTACTACTTTTTAAAAAAATGTTGTCTATGGAAATGAGAAAAGCTTTGGGTAGAACAATGGTTGTTGGGGGGGGATATTTGACAAGCAAGTACTTAATACATGTAAAAAAAAAAGCTGAAGATATTTTTCCTCTTGAAATATGTGAATGTTTTAGCTGTGAATATGAAATGAAATACTGCAGCCAGTTGCCTTAGAAACATACCATATTCTGCTATCACCCTGTTAAAATTAACTTTCAAAGGATTAATTTTGTGAGAAAATTCTCCAAAATATGACCCTCCAGAATATAGCTAGTAGTAGAGGTTTAAAAAGCATTTGTGGCTGCAGTCCTATTGCCCATCAATTGGCCTTTGAGGGACTATGGGATTTTGGAAAATTGCCACACTCCACTGGTGCAGGGATCCTTATGCTGCTGAAGGACCCCCTCACATACCCCTAAAATGCTCCACTAGC